TCCCCGGGTCAGCACACGGGAACAGGGGGGAACCCTGAAGAGGGAGGGGGCCCCAGGGGTCTGGGTTGGAGGGTCGGAGCTGAGAGCCCATTCAGGACAGTGGACGTGGGATCTAAGTGCACAGGTGGGGGACGTCCCTGGTGGTCTGGTGGTTAAGACTCCATGCTTTTGATGCAGGGGGCGCAGGTTCAATCCCTGGTGCAGGGTTGGGGGGTGGTGGAGGACTAGGATCCCATCTGCCGTGGGCATGGCCAAAAAAAAAAAAGAGAGAGAGAACAGGCATGGTTTTCGAGAGAGGGAGGTGGAACCGTGAGGATGAGGAGCCGGCTGTCTTAGAGGGGGTCTGGCAGGCTCTGAAAATCACACGTGGAGCCTTTTCGGCAATCATTTTGGAGAAGTCTTATTTTTTCCACTCTGAATCCTCTTTGGCGCCTGGAATCCATTTCTCCACAGATATGCTCAAGGAGGGCGCCTGGAAAGCTCTCAGAGGTAGGATGGCTCTCCCCCTGCAGAAGGGATGGCTAAGAATCCCACAGAGCCCTCACGAAGGCCCCGGAACACAGCCAGCTCTGCTCCAAGCCTCAGGCCGGGGGGTTCCTGCTCTGGCCAGGAGCCGGGCAGTTTGTCCCCCCTGCCTTCCCTGCTTCTGATTGCAGCCTTGAGTGGCCCGAAGTCAGTGAGAATATCCTTCTCCTGTGCCTTGTGCCAGCTTCTTCGAGCCCAAGACATCTATCATCCTGGGGAAAGTCTAGCCCCTCGGTCTGGGGCAGACAGGTGACGGCTGAGGCTGGGCTGCGCCTGACCCACCCGGGGCGCGCTGGTCACCACTCCACAGAGTAGATCACTCACTGTCAGCCTTTCCCGGCTCCCTCTGACCCTTGCGGCTTTCATGCAAATGTCACCCCTGGGATCCTATCAAGTAGAGTTCTTTTTTAAAAAGAAATGCCATATGGGTGGGGGGAGAGCTAAATTAGGTGTCTGAGATTAACATATACATACAACTACATTTAAAAGATGTAAACAACAAGGACCTTCTGTATAAGCACAGGGAACTGTACTCAATATCTTATAATAACCTATAATGGAAAAGAATCTGGGAAAGAATATATATAAATATATATATTTATAATATGTATATATGTATCTGTATAACTGAATCACTTTGCTGTACATGTGAAACTAATACAACATTGTAAACAACATTGTAAGTTGACCGTGTGCTAAGTCCCTTCAGTGGTATCTGACTCTTAGGCGACCTCATGGACTGTTACCCACCAAGCTCCTCTGTCATGGGATTCTCCAGGCAAGGATACTGGAGTAGGTTGCCATGCTCTCCTGCAGGGGATCTTCCCAACCCAGGGATTGAACCTGCGTCCTTTAGGTCTCCTGCATTGGCAGGTAGGTTCTTTACCAGTAGTACCCCCTGGGACTTCAATAGAAAAAAGAAATACCATATTGAAAAGGACATTTTCCCCTTCCCCTGTTTAACTTGCTTTGCACAGGTTAGGGAGAACTGGCCATTGATTTTCTTCTAGAGAACAGAGCAAGCCCTGTGCAGATTTTGGCTAATTAACTTTTGGAGAAGTGCCGCTTGAATTTATCAGAGGGTGAAGTCTCTTTTCCCCTCCAAAAAGGCTTTAAACTTTTGTTTCCGAATCTCTGCCAACGCCTGGCCTGTTTAAAAATGACTTCCCTGGAGACGATGGCAAAGGGTGATGGTTGTCATATTTTTGTAACTTCAATCTTCAATACAGTTGTTCCAGTCCTCAGAAAATCTCTTCTGTTTACATAAGAGAGGTATCATTCACACAAAGATTACATTTAAAAATACACATTCCCCCTCAGCATGCCTGTTACTAATAACATTGCATGTTATGAAAGTGGAAAGTATTTAAGATGAAATTAATTTTCACCCAGCGAGCCACTTTGTTTGACTTTTTCGTTCCATTCGGTGTGGGGCATGGACTTGGCCAAATGCACTTCTCATTGTCAGCAAGTTCACCTCCTTGTTTCTCTTTTTTGGGATTGACGCTGTTAGAAATGAGTTCCGGGCACATCGAGAGAAATCTCATCTGGGATCGTATTGTACATTTCTTTTGTATTGGCTTCCAGAAGTTTGTTTTTCTAAATGGAAACCCTCTTCTCTCCAGTTGATGAGTTTTAGTGTACAGTTTTTTTTCTTTCTCCCTTTTGTTCTCTTTCTTCCTTCCCTTCTTTCCTTCCTTCCACAGGTTCTCTTTCAGCAGAATTTCTGGAGTTGGAATAGTTAACATCTTTTTTGGCAGTCTGTCGGAAGATCGTGGGAAGCCAGATAACGGCTCCTTGCTTAGGACACCTCTCGGTCGTGTGTTCTTGTCAGTTCTCATCCATGTGACGCGGCTGGTCTCTGTTCCGTGGAGGGAAGGTGGAGCCCCCGGGACACCCCGGACAGGCTGTGTGTCCGAGCTGCCCTCGACGGCTCTGTTACACACAGCTGCATCGCCTTAGCAGAGGGAGACATTTAAGCTGGTGGGACACAGTTGCAAATGCTTCCCAGGAAATGGTTCTTCATTTTTGATCAATCTCATGACCCTTGTTTCTAATTTGATTACATCAGCCTATGCGCAGTTCTGTTTTATAGCATTCTGATGGGCTTTCATTCCCCCTCCCAATTCATTGTCAGCTGGGTGACTATTATGGTTTGATTACAGTTAGGTTTTGCAACTGCTAGACGATTTCTGAGCTGTTATGCCATTCTTGTGAGGGGGAAGATGCCCAGAGGTAGAAAAGAAGGTTTGTCCACGAGCAGTTTCCAAAAGACACTTCAGAAGCTTCAGTGATTGTATCCTCCCAGAATAAGGAATTTGCTTTAAACTTTTCGGTAGAATCTGACACTTTGACTTTTAAAAAAGAGTAAGAGGACAAATACTATAAGATAACTACCTATATGTGGAATCTAAAAAATACAACAAACTAGTGAATATAACAAAAAAGCAGCAGACTCACACATAAAGAGAACAAGCTAGTGGTTACCAATGAGGAGAGGGAAGGAGAGAGGGGCAAGACAGGGGTAGGGAATTAAGATGTATAAACTTTTATATATGGGAATGTAGCCAATATTTTATAATGTAGCCAATATTTTTCAAAGGAATATAACCTTTAAAAATTGTGAATCACTATATTGCACACCTGTAACATAAAATATTGTACATCAATGACACTTCAATAAAAAAATAAAGAGGACAAAAAATAAATAAATAAATAAAATAAAGAGGACAGACAAATCCATTTAAATTTTTCCTTTTTTTTTTTTTTGCTCCTCTAAATATTTTGGTTAAGAAATATTTTAAACTTAGACCCCCCCATCCCCCCATTTTAATGTCACTGTGTCTCCAGAGACCAAAACAAAGGGGGCATTCATAATGTCCCTTCAAAATGAGCTATTTGAGTCTCCCTTTTGGCTCTGAAAGTCCTGTGGCTCTTCTCCTTCTGTGTTTTCCTCCTTCTCTTCTCTAAGAATCTCTGCTTTACCTGGTAGGCATTGTGTTATTATAGTTGCAATCCCCAGGACCATTTATTCACCTCTGTCTTGTGCCTATCATTTATGTTAAGTATTTGATCTTATTATGTTTGTGTTTTTTTACATTTAATCAGTTATATCAATGTTATATTTTTAGTCTTTGAAAAGGACAGTATCTTAAAATTAGTAGCATCACCCAAGGATACCAAAGATTCAGGAACCGAAAATTCACTGTGCTTAATCAGATCACCAATCCAGTAAACCTGAAACCTTTACCTGAAACCTGAAACCAGTAAACCTTTCTATTTGTGCATTAAACTCTGGGAATCGAGTTATTTTGAGTCCCCAAATTCAGCTGTTATTGCTTTAAATGCTTCTTTCATTTGTTTTTCCATCATAAAGTTATTTTTCTTCAAGTGTGTGGTTTTACAAGATTGGTGCGTGCCCTTCCTCATCTCCTCACCCCTATAATAGCTCTGTTTACAGGGTGTTTCCTCTGACCCTCTAGTCTTTTCTATAGGGTGTTTCTCTTCTATTGTAATGGAAGTCTTTGTATCTATGCTGGTGGTTTCAGTCCAATCTGGAGTGTCTTTGCTGGTTACCACTGAGGAATAAGTGTGGCTAATGGGGCGTGTTAAGGGGCAGGGGGCTCTGGAAGCTGGATGTCCTCGTAGACTCCATGTAGAAGGTTGTACCAGAGCTACCCCCATTCTGGAGTTGGGAACTCCTGCTTCCTGGGACAGGGACATGTTACTCTTGTGTTGTGTGTGTGCCAAGTCACTTCAGTCGTGTCCGACTCTTTGTATCCCCATGGACTGTAGCCTGTCAGGCTCCTCTGTCCATGAGATTCTCCAGGCAAGAATACTGGAGTGGGTTGCCCTCCTCCAGGGGATCTTCCCCACCCAGGGGTGAAACCTGCGTCTCTTATGTCGCTTGCACGGGCAGGCAGGTTCTTTACCACTGGCACCACTTGGGAAGCTTTTGCTGCTTCCCAGGTTACTTTTGCTGCTGCTGCGGCTGCTAAGTCGCTTCAGTCGTGTCTGACTCTGTGCGACCTCATAGATGGCAGCCCACCAGGCTTCTCCATCCCTGGGATTCTCCAGGCAAGAACACTGGAGTGGGTTGCCATTGCCTTCTCCAATGCATGAAAGTGAAAAGTGAAAGTGAAGTCGCTCAGTCGTGTCTGACTCTTAGTGACCCCATGGACTGCAGCCTACCAGGGTCCTCCGGCCATGGGATTTTCCAGGTTTATTCTCGGGGTCCTAATTTCTCCATTAATGGGGTCTCTAAGTTCCCTGGTGGATCTGGTACAGGAAATAGAACCTGATGGAGACCTGAAGCTGAGCTGGATTCTGCTGCTTGCCAAAGCTCTTGATCCCCATTGTCTTGGTCTTCATAACTGCAAAATCTTCCATGGCAGGAGGGTGGGTGACTTCAGTTTCCTTCTGGGTGTGTTCTGGTTTTCCCTGGCCTCATTCCCCCTCTGTCTGTCTCCCTGCAGGCTTGGGGACCAGTTCTACAAGGAAGCCATTGAACACTGCCGGAGTTACAACTCCCGCCTGTGCGCAGAGCGCAGCGTGCGCCTGCCGTTCCTGGACTCGCAGACCGGGGTGGCCCAGAACAACTGCTACATCTGGATGGAGAAGAGGCATCGAGGCCCAGGTGAGCCATGCCACCCTGATCAGAGATTGTGCAGAAATCCCTGCCGCCTGGGTGGGCGTGGAGGTGGGACAGGATGTACAGGGAGCCTGGAATACTTTCAAGAAACTCAACTGCTTCTGTAACTCAAGCTTGGCATGTGCCCCGAGGACGATGCGGGACATTGAAGCCACGCTGGCGGGAAGGGGCAGAGTGAAAGAATTCAGGACGTTTAATCCCTAAAAGGGAAGACTAAGGCCACGACAGGTGCTTCACCTTTTACACTGTGTGTTGGTGTAGCTTAGTGTCTATAAGCTGGAAATCTGAAGTCAGATTTCAGTTTGAGTCTGAACTTTGTCATCAAACCTCTTGCCCTCCGGTTCCTCATCTGTAAAATGGGGATACTAATAGTACCTACTTTAGGACTTTGTCAGGATTAAGTGAAAATCTTCATAAAAAACTCATAACCTGTTTTGAGCACATAGTATGTACTAAGGCTTCCCTGGTGGCTCAGTGGTAAAGAATTTGCCTGCTAATGCAGGAGATGCGGGTTTGATCCCTGGGTTGGGAAGATCCCCTGAAGAAGAAAATGGCTATCTACTCCAGAATTCTTGCCTGGGAAATCTCATGGACAGAGGAGTCTGGTGAGCCACAGTCCAGGGGTCACAAAAAAGTTGGATACAACTTAGTGATTAAGCAACCAAAACAAGTATGTTTTCCAAAAATGCTGCCTGTTATTGTTGATGTTGTTATTATTATTATTATTACTGTGATACTAGTCTTCTAGGCTTCAGAGAACAGAATATAGACCACTGGGTGGAGATCAGGGAGGTAATTTAACACAGTTTTCTGGCTCTATACTGGTATATTAAAAAATAATTTTTTATAAAAGATTTCAAAGCCATGCACAAGTAGAGAGAAGAGTAAAATGAATATTTGTGTATTGTTCACCCAGCCTCAACAGTGATCAACTCATAGCCAATCATTTCGTTTATACTCACCTTCCACTTTCCTCCTTGAACCCAGGTTATTTTGAAGCAAATCAAGACAGCAATACTATTCATCTGTAAATTTTTCAATCTGTATCTCTAAATGGTAAGAATATAAACAAACATACAAGCCATACCTATAAAAACTCAAAGTTATCAAATATTTGCTCAACATTTATTTCTCCGTGTAATTGAAATCAGGATCCAAACAGGACTTCTACATGAAAGTTGGCTGATGTGTCTCTTAAGTCTCTTTAAATCTGTAGGTCTCTCTCTCTCTCACTTGTTACTTGTGGAAGAAACTGGGTTGTTTGCACTGTAGGGTTTCCCAGAGTCTGGATTTTCTGATTGCATCCCCATGGTGTTTTTCCTGTGCATTGGTAGAAACAGATTCAGGTTCAATTTTGGGGCAAGAACAGTTCCTAAGTGGTGATGTGTGCTTTCATCAGGAGCCTCATGGATTCTGGGTATTTCTCTTTTATTGATGTTAGCAGCCCTTGATGAAAATTACCTAGATGCTTTATTTTATTAAGGGTTCAGAAATGGTGACATTCAATTTGAGGCTATCATTATTTCTTCATTTATTAGGTCTACATCATTTATAAAGAGAAGCATCTCCTTATTAAAATTTTGGTTATTGTGGGGTATAGTGCACATATGAAGGTATAGATAAATGATTTTCCCCCTTTAGTTATCAGTTTTCAAAATAATGAGCTGGTTCCCTTGTATTCTCCAAAGATGATCAATAAAATTATTATGATTATCTTGAGTACCATCATGAATTCACAGCCTTAAACATATTGGATAATTTTAATCCATTGCAGCTATTATTCTTATCAATGCTTAAATTGCCCCCATCTTTGGACAGCTCAGCTGGTTAAGAATCCGCCTGCAATGTGGGAGACCTGGGTTCGATCCCTGGGTTGGGAAGATCCCGTGGAGAAGGGAAAAGCTACACACTCCAGGATTCTGGCCTGCAGAATTCCATGGACAGTATAGTCCTTGGGGCCGCAAAGAGTCGGACACGACTGAGCGACTTGCACTTTCACCTTGGACAGTAGGGTTTATGAGCAGTGCTGGTGCATTGAAACAGCCTAGCAGTTTCTGTAGCATCCTTGCTATCCTAGTATTGGGACATGTTTCAAGCTCATCTTGTGCACATCCTGCCCCAGACCCTGAACCAACTATTTCTTTAAAAAACCCTATTTCCTCTTTGTAAGACTATTATTTGGAGACTACAATCTGGTGGTGCCTGTTGCTCCTGGGCTGGTTGTTGATTCTAGGACTTTTCAGTGAGCAGAACTAAGAAATATGATTTCTTGTTTCTTTTTTCTTGTTTCTCTTTTTAAGAGAAAACACATTGTTAAATTTACTGATATTGCCCATTCAATTCAGTTTTACCCAGCTTTAAGTTAACTATCTTCATTCTCTATCTCCTCTCTCCCACACTGAAAAGAATACTGGCTCTTTATGATGCCAGCATAGTTTTTTTGCTTTACTCTGCAGTAGACACACAACAATATCAGAATAAAATGAGACTACTAGCAATAAGGTGACTGAAATGGTTTAAGTTTTTATTTCTTTCTTTGCAATTTTTTGTTGTCTTTAGCATATTTCCTATTAAGGATGTAGAGTCAAATTACTGTGTTTTAAGGTCGCTTGAAATAGTTCCTCAGTGTGTTTGTAGTGTTAACTCAATACACAGTTGGATTTATTTGTTTCATTTTTGTTTTCACTTATTAGGTTTTACTGTTTTTTTTAAATTTTATGTAATTACTTTGCCTTTTTAAAATTAACTTTTTATCTTGAAATAATTGTAGATAAACAGGAAGTTGTAAACATAATACAGAGAGATCCCCTTGTACCCTTCACCCAGTTTCCCCTAAGGGATATATCTTCTGTAATTATAGCATAATATCAAAACCAGAAAAGTGACACTAGTGAAATGTATGTGTGTAGTTCTATACCATTTTATCACATGTATAGATTTATGGAACCACCACCACAATTGAGATACAAAACTAGTCCATCACCACAAAGCTCTTCCTCGTCCTGCCCTTTATAATCACACCCACCTCCTCTCTCTTCGTTTAGGTCCCTTTATCCTCTTGCATTTGTAATGTAGTATCTTAAACATTTCCTCTACATACATTGAAAACCACATCAGACAGACTTATAATTTTTGCTTCAACTGTCAAACATAATTTAGAAAACTTAAGAGAAGTGTCTATTGTATTTACTCATATCTTTGCTCTTTTGTTGTTGCTTCTTCCTTTCTGATGTTCCAAGATGCCTGCTTTTATAATTCCTTTCTGATTAAGTATTTTCTTTAACCATTCTTTTAAAGTAGGTCTGATAGTAACAATTCTTAGTTTTCCTTCTTCTAACAGTGACTTGATTTTCCTGTTATTTCTTGTTTTTTTGTCTTTGTTTTTGGCCACGCCCACACAACATATGAGATCTTAGTTCCTTGGCCAGGGATCAAACCTGTGCCCCTGCAGTGAAGCACAGAATCCTAACCACTGGGCAACCAGGGAATTTCACTCTTCATGCCTGAAGGATATTTATTTTGTTGTTGGATATAAAATTCTGAGATGATACTCCTTTTAACACTTAAAAAATGTCTTGCTTCTTCCTTTCAGCCTCAGTAGTTTGTGATGAGAAATCTGCCATCATTCAAATTATTTTCTCTTGAAAGTGAGGTGTCACTTTTCTCTCATTGATTTTGAAAGTTTTTGTTTTTAGTTTTCAGAAATTTGATTTTGATATGTTTTGGTGTAGATTTCTTTGAGTTTATCCTTTTCAGAATTTGCTCAGCTTCTTGAATCTTTATATATATATATATATATATATATATATATATATATACACACACACACACACACACACACACATTTTTTGCCAAATTTGGAAAATTTTCAACCATTATTTCTTTGATTATAATTTTTAGCCTCAATCTTTTTCCCTTCTTCTGGGATCCCACTGGGAAAGAAAATTCTGGGACTTCAAAATGTTAAATCTTATGTTATAGACCGAGAAGTCCCCCAGGCTCCCTTCTCTCTTCCTCCTCCTTCTCCTTCCTCTCCTCCTTCCATTTTTTCCGAGTCTACTGGATGACCTCTATTATATTCTGTTCAGGTTCATTACTTCTTTTATCTATTCTCTTCATTCTGCTGTTAAGCCCTTTCACTGAGGGTTTGCTTTGTTTTCGTTATCGTGTTTTTCAGTTCTAAAATTTCCCTGTGGTTCTTCTTTATATCTTCTATTTCTTTGTGGGACTTTGTAGTTTCTCATTTGTCTCAGGTGTTAACAATTATTTGTTTGAAACATTCTTATGATGGTGACTTTAAAACTCTTGTCAGGTAATTCTAACACATGGTGTTGTTTCAGTGCTGCTGTCTGCTGTCTTTTCTCACTCAACTTGAGATTTTCCTGGTTCTTCATAGGAGTGATTTTGATTGAATCCTGGACATTTTGGCTGTAATGCTGTGAGACTCCAGATGTTATTTAAATCATCTGTTTTCACACACCTCCTCCGACACTGTGCCGACAGGGGAAGAGAGGTGCCCCTTGTTACTGTCAGATGGATGTGGAGGTCCAGGCTCCCCATTCAGTCTCTGCTGACACCCCAGAGGGGTATGGGTACCTCATTATTTCTGGGTGGAGGTGGGAGTTCGGACTCCCCACTAAGCCTTCACCAAAGCCACCCCAGTTGGGAGGAGGAAGCTCGCCTTATTACTGGTCCCTATATAGCTTCCACTGCCGCCATGGGCTGTCACTTGACCTCCTCTGACACTAAACCAGCAAGGATATTAGGATGCCCTGCTGGGCTGCCTTTTCCCTCGTCCTTCAGCTAGAGAGCGCAGGATTTTCTTGGGGCTTTTTTGGGTCTACATTTGTTGGTGTTTCTGGATAATCAGCTTTTCTACAACTCAGTCTGGCGTGTTTAAAACAAACAAAAAAATGCCCAGAAACTTGCCACCCTGTTGTTTCTTGGGTCTGAAACTCCCTAGGAGGTCATCCTCTTTACCTTTC